CCAACACTTGTAAAGCAAAAGATCTAAATCCTCTCAAAAAACTTTGAGTTAGCTTATATAACTTGCTTTTAGTAAGAGAATAAATCTGCTAAGCATAGTATGTATACATATTATACTCAAATAAGAATTTTTTTTTTTACATTTACACATATGTAAGAGTTGTGTTTTTACCCTTTCCTTGACAACTGATTGTTTCTTTAGAAATGTCTACAACTTTGGACAAAACAATAAAACATTTAATATCTATCTGTGGGATAGTATAATTTTAATTTATGTACATAGATATAATACAGCAGAAACAATACTGTGAAAAGTCTTCCTCCCATTCTTGTCTTTAGCTACTTACTCTTCGCAAGAGAGGTATCTTTTAGCATTTACTAATCCAAACAATGTATATAAAGCCATGTAAGTCATTTTATAGCTATAATAGCATCCAAAAGATGTTTGCTGTTTTTCACTAATATGCCCTTAAGATCTTTCCATATGAGGATCAGTACACGTAATTAATATGTATATTTATATATATATATATAAAGAGAGAGAGAGAGAGATAATGAGACAATCTCTTGTTATTGCAGACTTATTATTCTGTCCCATGGAAATACCAAATATAGTTAACCATTCCTTATGTATGGGTATTTGGTTTTTTTTATTTTTCAGTTTTTAAGATTTACAAAATTAAATTTTAAAATACATTCATTTAACACATGTACAGTTACTTCTGTCAAGTAAATTTCAAAAGATAAATAGCTAGGTCAAAGTGTATGGACAATATATATCACCTATTAGTATTCCATAAAATGTTACTAATACACTTTTATAGAGGCTAGTAGGTGGCATGGTGGTTAAGGTGCTGGATTCCCACTTAACCGACTGTTCAAGTCCTGGACCTGCAGGCTTGAAAATCTCACTGGGCATGTGTGCATGGGTGCCCAAAATTCCGGAAAGAGAATGGAAGAGAAGAGATTGTGGTGTGGTCATCCCTCAGGGGTTGATTTCTCACTTGCCCTCTCATAGTCTCTGTCATTCTCCAACAAGCTCAAATACCCTATGACAAGAACCTACAAAAAAAAAAAAAAAATAGAAAGAAAGAAAGAAAGAAAGAACAATCTCTCTTTCTTTAATTTTTCTGAGTGGTCCTTCTTTTTTCACGCCAGACCCATGTTCTTTTGGTAGGGCTGGTTAGCAATTTTATTTGTCAGAGTTTTCCTGCATGTACCTGCATATTTAACTTTTATTCAGACTTAGAACTAGCTTTTTTATTCACCACCACTCTCTCAAATTTTATTTGTATTTTCATGGATTTGGGGTAAAAGTATAGATTAATATAGAGAAAACTGATATTTTTGGACCTACACAGGTCCAAGATATGATTTCTATATGTAAAAGTCTTCACTAATGCTCTGTGGTACCATTTAAAATTTTTCTTCAAATACATCTTACACATTTCTAATTACATCTATTATAGTTAGATTTAGTCTTTAGCCTATTATAAATGAAGGCTTTTCCCATTATCTTAAGACTGATTAATATTTTATACAAGACTTCTGATTTTTGGATTCTAACATTGCATCTAATATAAAACTACTCATACTAGAAGTAGCTTTAAAGTTTGTTTTCTACAAGTAATCATTATGCAAATTTTTAAAAAGAAGAAACAGCTTCTGGATCTCAGGCCCTTGTAGTTTTACTTTTTTTTTTAAGTTTTTTTCCATAGGATGTGTACACATGCTGGAGTGATAGTGAGCTGAAAAGCAAGAGATCACTCCCTGAGGGAAGGGATGGCCATGCCACAATCCCTTCTTCTCCACTCTCCTCCTGGGGTTTTGGGCACACACAACTACACACATGCACACACATACACACACACACACACATACACTCATGCCTCACATGATTTTCAAGCCACCAGGTCCAGGACTCAAACCGTGGTCAACCATGTGGGAATCCAGCACCTTCATACCATGTCAACTGCTGGCCCCAGCTCCTTGTATTTTGATCTATCCAGAGTTTTCCTTCTACCAGTTTTTTTTGCTCCCTTCAAAACCTTCCTCTGTCATTATCAGTAGTAATTTTTTCTTTAATCTAAAAATCAGTGATTAATGAATTTTAATGGTAAGAAGTCAGTGCTTCTGAACCTCTTTCTAACAGACTTTTAGAAAGAATCTGAGTAGGGCCTCCCCAGAGAATGCTTTGTGATTATTCTGACTGGACATTCCTCATATTCCTAGCTTAATCATCCCTACAGCTAAGTCTCACTATTTGATCTTTATTCTTTTTACTTGCCTTAAAAACCTCATCCACTCCAATGGTTTCGAGTAATATTTCCAAAGAGGGACGTTCCACATTTCTATGACCTTCTTGAATACCTACTAGGTAAACTTTGAGAAACTAGAAATGTCCTATTGAAAGCCTACATTGCTAACTTTGAAACAAAATTAATCTAACCATCTAACCTCCCCTGTTTCCCATCAGAGTAGTTTATTTAGGCCCCAATGGCTCTATCTTGAGGAATGTGGAATATTAATTAGTCAGGACTAAGGAATAGGTACTAAGGCAGAGACCAGATGTGTGAATTGAGCTAGACCTGAATACTGGTCAACCATATGGTTCTGCACAGTACCTAACCACTGTGCTCTGGGATAAGCTCCTTCATTCAAACTTATCTTCATAATTGTCAGGTGTGAAAGGGTCGATGCACTTTACTGTTTTGCAGATGGGGAAACTGAGACTTCAGAATCTTAAGCAGTGTTACAATATAATTAGTGAGTGGTAAAACGAACGTAAGACCCAGGCTTCCTGATTACAACTCAGAAGTTCCTTCCACTATGACGCAGGGTATTGGGGTGCATGGGCCCAATACCCAATGCAGGAACAGCAGCAAACTCAATTCTTTGTTTCATGCTCACAAAAAATTAGAAGAAAGATGAATGAAGAGGCTAGTAAAGGGAGTTTATTAAAAAGTAAGAACATCTTCCAGGCATCAGAGAGGGCGTCCCAGAAAATGAGTTGCCAACTTCAGATCCTTACCAGGGATTTTTATCCTAGCTAGGACGGACTTGTTCACATTTTTATTCTTGTCCTTGTGGGGGTCACATGCTACATATGCCTTCCTGTACGCACATTGAGAGGATTTCTGGCAAATGATTGCCCAGAGACCATTATCTAGTGCTCAGTGTTTGTTCTAGTCTTTGAGAGCTTGGGGTCCTAAAACCCATTACCTACATTCTGAAATGTAATGGAGACATGCAGAAAGCCATCCTGGTTTAATCATTGAATCACTGCTACAAGCCGTTTCTTGTAAGGAAGCAATTCCTAGTGCACACTTGACTACTGTGTCTCCAACTTGAGAAAAAGCTGTAGACCGTGAATCACGATGGGAAATAGAGAATCTATAGCTGGTGGTCAAACACCAATTCCTCCACAAGAGACCTATGTGTGGTACAGAACATTTATGATGGAGTATCCCTCTGGTCTGCAAACACTCCATGAATTTAAGACACTTTTGGGTCTGCAGGGTCTGAATCAGAAGGCCAATCAACATGTTGATCAAGTTTATAATACCTTATGTTCTGACTACCTATTTCCTAGGGTTCTGTCTCTTATTTCAATTAGACCCACAATACCTCTCAATAATGTAGACATAATTTATGTCTAACGATACAGCAGGGATTACCCTCTCTGAAACATTGTCTCTGCCCTTCACAGAACACTACACCCATGGATGGCTGTGAGTGCAGTACCATCAGTTAGTGGTCTGTGACCTTGATCTTTAAACTGTGCAGAAGAGTTAATCTCACTGGCTTTCTATTCTTACTTAGCCTGCAGCTGTAAGAGGTTTAGAGTAGCTATCCAAGGGCATATGTTAACCTCAAGTTTTAGTGAAGAGTGAGGGACTAAATCCAGAAAGAACTTACATGAAAACAACTTGAGAAAAAGCTGTAGACCGTGAATCACGATGGGAAATAGAGAATCTATAGCTGGTGGTCAAACACCAATTCCTCCACAAGAGACCTATGTGTGGTACAGAACATTTATGATGGAGTATCCCTCTGGTCTGCAAACACTCCATGAATTTAAGACACTTTTGGGTCTGCAGGGTCTGAATCAGAAGGCCAATCAACATGTTGATCAAGTTTATAATACCTTTGACTTGAACAAGGTAAGTCCTTTACTTTTCATACTTTGGTATGAAAATGCTATGGTTATGTATCCCCCCCACTCCCCCCCACTCACTTTTCTCTCCCTATAACATAGACTTTGGTAAAATGTGTGCACCTCCCTGAACAGAGAGGTCTTCGCGCAAACCACAGCTTGTAGGTAAGTGAGTCATTAAACACATTTAGCACTGACGGCAGGAAAATAATTGAGAACTAGCCTCTCCACCCTAGGAAATGTTCTGCATGTAGGGAGTTATTTTAAAACCAAATTAAATCTCTGCATGGAATTCTAATGCTATCATTTAAATAAATCTAATAAATGCAGATTGATGTACAAAGGCTGTTTTCAAAGTATTTAATGCATTGGTGACATTTTATAGAAAAGCAAATTACAGGAATCTGCTTTTAAAAATGTGATTGCATCTAGATTGGCAGATAAAATCAATATAAATTAGCCAACATGTCTGGACTCAAATCAAAAGTTAGAATATTTCATAATACTTTTTTTTTCATATCTGACCAATTCAGTTTAGGAAAAATCAAAATAATTTACAGTTCTGAATGCAGATACAGTTTAGTTTCTAAAGATCGTTACTAATTACAATTTTGTCTTTATTCATTCCCAAGTTACTGGAGCACATTTAAGTTCATTTCTTGGAAAGAGAAAAGGAGATAGGGAATAGAAAGAAGATGAAAAGGTGACAACTTGAAATACCAGGCTAAAGTTTTCTTGTGTCTCAAGTTATCTTTACTTGTAGATCTGTCTACTTCCAAATATGCAGATAATGACTGGAATAAAAGGGCAGCGGAAAATATCAATACTAGTACTAAAAAATAGATGACCACAGACTGTGTAAGTGATAATACTAAGAGTTCTCAAAAAAAAAAAATCCATTGGAAATGCACATTACAAGAAAACTATGCATTGATGTCAAAAATGTTTTTGCACCAAAATAAACTCATATTTTAATTCCTTTTTCCATGAACTTTTCATAGATGAGAAAGAAAAGAAACAGAAATTACAAACAACTAGCTGCTAATTAAGACAGAAGGAATTTAGCACAACCCTCTGATTTATTTTCCAAAATCAGAAAAACGGGTGACTTGAAAGTAGGTAACAGCCAGGAACTGGGGAAAACTAAATCAGTACAAAATTAGCAGCTATTTTACGCCTCATAGCAACATTGAGAACAAATTTCTTTTAGGATGTTATTGTCTTTTGCTTTTTAATTGAATGTGGTTTCAGCAGTGCCTGTTTAACATGACAATCTTTTCCTCCTCATACATTTTACTTAGTTTAAATGCAAGGGAAAACAGATCTGCCTCCAAGGAGCCTACAAATCAGTGGGAAAACAAGGCAGGTTCTGCTTCTGTTCTTCACCCTGAAATGTGTGTAAAGTATTAGGAGCATGTTGGTACATTGTCTCTATTCGCTTCTGCCTGTGTCCATATCTTTCAGCTCTCCAGCTCACCCCTCTCCTACCTCCTTCATTCTCTCTCATCCTGTGTGCTGCTGCTACCCCACTGTTTTTGTTAGGAGCTGCCCATTGCAGGATGGAAAGCCGTTGCTCTAGGCAGCAGCATCTTGGGCTTTGCCCGTCCTCCGAGAGGTTTGGAGATGAGCTGTCTCCTAGTTCTTTAGTGATTCTCCAAAGGTGTTCATGTTCTCCTATACCAGAGGTTTTGTTGTTAGCCCGATGTTCGTGAATGCACTGTGCACACCAGTGGTTCATCTGCTAGAATGAGAACAGGTGAAGAGGAGGGTGGGTGGAGACAAGGATCTGCTGTCAGAACGAATCCCTTTGTCAAGGAAGCAAGGCAGACAGTGCCACGTTGGCATCTTGGGACGTGTGTGCTCTGGGTGCAAGAGCCTCTTGGTGTCCATCGCAGGAATGACCAGACCCATTTCCTGAACTTAATTGAAATGTCTTGAAAGTGCTGCTGGCGTTCATATTTCTTACAGAGCTTTAGTGTGCTTGGGGGATGCCACAAATGGTGTGCGGATCACAACATAAAATCGGATCAGAAAACGGGAAGAGTAAGGATTATTTATTACCAGGTGATACTAAAAAATGATATTTAATTATGCATAGGAAGAAAAAACAAAAAGGCCATATATTTACTTAGACAAATCAATAACATTAACAGCTATTCAGTATCCCTGAAGATTTAGTTTCTTTGCAGCCCCTCTGCAGACATTTTTTTCTATTTTGTTTTTCTAAGTTCTATTATTTAAAAAATTTTATTTTTAAAGTACACCTTATTGCATGTGTTTAAAGTATATAACAGCATGATGTTATGGGATACATATAAATAGTAAAATAGTTACTATAGTGAAGAAAATCAATGTATCTCTCAGCTCACATAGTTTCCTATTTGTGTGTGTGTGTGTGTGTGTGTGTGTGTGTGTGTGTGTGTGAAAAGCAGCTCGAATCTCAAATATTTAATATGAACCCCATTCCAGGACAATATTATTATCTTTAATCCTCATGCTGTACATTAGACCTCTAGATTGTTCATCCTACTTGTCATTTAGTTTGTATTTTCTGACCAGTGTCTTCCCCATTTTGTCCCCTACCCTCTGCCCCTGTTAACTTCTGTTTTGTTCTCTATCTCTGTGTATTTGATTTTTTTTTTAAGATTTCACATACAAATGAGATCAAGCAGTATTCTTTGTATTTTAAATGTTTTGGATGGAAATCATTCTTTTTTAAAATAAGAATTATTTATTTAATTTTAATTATCATTATTATTTTTTAATTTGTTACAAAGCACATATGAGAGAGAGAGAGGGAGGGAGAGAGAAAGTGAGAAAATAGGTACCAGGTCTGAGACATGAACCGTGGTTGGCCATGTGGGTGGGAATCCAGCATCTTAACTACCATGTCACCTGCTGGCCCCAGAAATTATTCTTAAATACATTTCACACATTTCTGCTTCTTCAAGGTGCTGGTAAAGCATTTTCTTGATGTGCCAGTCCTTATCACGATCATCCGTTGTTACATTTTATGTAACACCACGAAGTGCCCATGGCTTACTAGTGTTTTTGAGATTAAGCTTCCTAATGCCAAACCCCCTGAAAATGTGTGTGTGTATGTGTCATTGTGTTCAATTTTATTCGTTTCTGTCTTTTCTTTTGTTGTCAAGCTCACATTTCACAGCTTTCTGATTGTTAACATGCTAATAAGCCTTTGATAACTTTTTCAAAAAATCATTTATTTAATTTTATTCAGTAATTATTATTATTTTTAGATTTGCCATAGGGCACATGTGCTCACCAGAGAGAGAAAGAGAAAGAGCGAAAGTCAAAAAGCAACGCACCAGGTCCAGGATTTGAACCATGGTTGGCCATGTGGAAGTTCAACACCTAAGCCACCACACCACCTGCTGGCCTGGTTTGATCTCTTTTTAAGGTATCATTTAAAAAAGAAAGAAAGAAAAAAGGTAATAATAAATAAATCTTTAAAAATTTTTTAAAAAGAATACTGCTTAAAGAAAAAAGTAAATCCTGTTTGGGGCATAAAATTTGTAACAAGTCATTCCTTTGGCTAATCACACCTCATCCTGGGTTTCTACTTAGGCCTTAATGGCAATGTTAATGCTTTCTTAGTGTCAAGGATGTGGAGAAAAGGAACCTCTATATGTTATTGGTGGGAATGTAAATAACAATAGTACAGCATTATAGAAAACAATATGGGGATTCCTCAGATAATTAAAAATAGAACTACCATATGGTCCAGAAATCTCACTCCTGTGTATCTAAATGAAATGAAATCAGTATATAAAAAGGATATCTGCATTCCCTAGTTCATTGTAGCATTACTCACAATAGCCATTCACTGATGAATTGATATAGAAAATATGGTATAAATAGATGGAGTACTATTTAGACACTAAAAAGAACAAAATCTTGTCATTGTGACGATATGGATGCACGTGGAGGACATTATGCTAAGTGAAATAAGTCATCTACAGAAAGACAAATACCCCATGATCTCACTCACATATGAGATCTAAAAAAGCAAAACTCACAGAAGCAGAGGTTTCTGGTTGCCAAGGGTGAAGGGGAACTGAGGAGAGGTGGTCAATTATGTTAGATGAGTAAATTTTGGGCATCTACTGTACAACCTGGTGGCTATGGCTAATAATAATGCATTACATACTTAAATTTTCTAATACAGAAGACCTTAGATGTTCAAACCATATGAAATGGTAAGTATGTGAGGTGATGAAAATGCTAAGCAGCCTGATTTAATTTCATAATGTATACATATATCAAAACATTATGTTGTATACCATACATATGCACAATTTTCATTTGTCAACTATACCTTAATAAAGCAGGAAAAGCCCTTTTTTTGGGGGGGTTTCACTATAGGGCGCATGTGCTCGCCAGACAGACAGAGAGAGACAGAGAGATAGAAAGCGAGAAATCACCCCCCAGAGGGGATGGCCACGCCGCAATCCCTTCTCCTCCATTCTCCTCTCGGGATCTTGGGCACACACGCACATGCGCCTGGCGTGGGTTTTAAGCCACCAGGTCTGGAACCCCAACCATGGTCGACTATGTGGGAGTCCAGCGACACAGCCATTACGCTAACTGCTGGTTCCTGAAAAGCCCATTTTTTGATTGCTTATGATGTGTGGGACATGTTGCAGGCCCCCCATATATAGTACTGTGTTCAATCTCAGTAAGGACAACAGAACCTACTGTGTGACAGAGCCATGGTTATGGCACTGCAGAGCTCCAGAGGATGGAATTGACCAAAGGTCCAGATCTTTGCTTTGAAATCCAAAACTGTGCTTATGTGAGTCTTTGTTACCTAAAGACTTAGTGTGGCAAAAATACTAAGGCTATTTCTTTCTTTCTTTTCTTTTTTTTTTTTAAGAGTCATTTTATTTTATTTTATTTATTATTATTTTTCAATTTTACCAGAGGGAGAGAAGGAAAGTGAGAAAGCAAGCTGCTGAGTCTGGTACTCAAACTGCAGTCAGCTATGTA